CTTTACCCTTTGGCCAATTGCATCTTGGTAAATCTTTATCACATATAATTACAATATCGCCCTCTTTAATGGGGACAACTTGTTTTTGCCATTTTGGTCTCAGCAGTAGCTGAGGTATATATTCGGAGATAAAACGGCGCCAACATTTATTTGCAAATTGTTCTCGATATAAATAACTAAATTTTAATACATTACTGTTGTCATCTAGTCGTCCGATCGGTTTATCACCATTTGAAGATCCCATTAAAAAGTGATTAGGAGTTAGAGCTTCGGACTCTTCCGAATCTAATGAAAGGTAAGTGAGAGGTCTCGAATTTACTATGTTTTCTGCAGCTACTAGACAGCTATAAAGCAATTGATCGGTGGGATTCCTAGTAGGAAGAGCATCATATAATGAAATTTTTACAGCTTTCACCAGACGCTCCCAAGCTCTTGCCATATGGGGAGAAATTGGTGCGTTAAAGTGAAATGTTAGCGTGGGACTTACTAGTGAATTCGCTATTAAAGCATTGTCAACCTTTTGCAGTTCTTCTCTCAAAACTCTTTCCGTTGCAACGAAATTTGTTCCACGATCACAATAAATATGCCTTGGTCGTCCTCTTCTATTAATAAAATTTGTAAAGCATAGTATACAACTGTCAGCATCCAACTTGTAGGCTAGTTCGAGGTGAACAGCTCTAGTTGTAAGACATGTAAACAAGGCTCCCCATCTTTTCTCCGTTCGTCTTCCAACTGTTACATTCATGGGACCAAAGTAATCAACGCCAGTATGTGTAAATGGTGCAGTAAATGTTGTTAGTCTACATGGAGGAAGCGGTGACATTTCGGGTGGTTTTGGTATGGCAAAGTTTACTTTACAATATTGGCAGTTATTTCTGATTTTATTAACCATCCGTCGAAGTTTTGGAATATAAAATTTTTGTCTTACCTCATTTACTACAGTTTCGTGATTTCGATGACGGTAGTTTCTGTGGTAGTCCTCAACGATTAATAAAGTTAAACGGCTCTCTCTTGGTAAAATGATTGGTCTTTTTGTGTCTGTACTGAGATCTGTTGCTTCATCTAGCCTTCCCCGGATGCGAAGTAAACTATCTTCGTCCAGGTATGGTGATAACTTAAATAAATTACTTGATTTCTTTACTGTTGACTGAATTTTACTGCTATTTTTCCTATTAAGTTGTTTAATTTCATTTTCATAATATTCCATTTGGACCTGTTTTATTAAAATATTCCTGGCAGCTAATAATTCTTCTGAAGTTAATGTACTATCGGATTCGTTTTTAACTTGACCTTTGGTTTGAAGACGTTTAATAAATCTATAGGTGTATGCAGTTGCACGTAAAACTCTTTTAAACTGGCTAAATCTATCTAGATTTATTAAGGGTGCAGTTATATTATTAATATTAGCGTCATGATTCGTCAATAAATCCGTAATATTATTTGTTTTTAAGCTGGTATCCGAAGGCCAATTGATTTCTGACTTATATAAGAAATCAGGTCCTTTTAACCACCGGCCGGAATTTTTTAAATTAGATTGATTTGTCCACTTGGTGGCTTCATCAGCTACATTATTTTTTGTTGGGACATATCTCCAATTCGAAATCATCGAGTTTTCTTGAATTTCGGCCACCCTGTATGCTACGTATTTCGACAGTTTTCTTGGATCTTCGTTTCTTAACCAACTTAAAACTATTATAGAATCGGACCAATAAAAAATGTCTTGCACGTTTATTGACAAGTGTTGGCAAAGATTTTTAGCAAACCTTGCACCCATTACTGCACCATCAAGTTCCAATCTAGGAATGGTTTGTGGTTTCAAGGGTGCTACGTGAGTTTTGGCTCCAATCAATACGCATTCTATTGTTTCCTTCTCCTCTATTCTTAAATAAGCTACGCAGGCACTAGCATATTCACTGGCATCTACAAAAACATGCATTTGAGTAATTGTAGCATTCCAAGTTTCTAGATTATTGAGGTAGCATCTTAAACCACAAACCATTCCTAGATTGGAACTTGATGGTGCAGTAATGGGTGCAAGGTTTGCTAAAAATCTTTGCCAACACTTGTCAATAAACGTGCAAGACATTTTTTATTGGTCCGATTCTATAATAGTTTTAAGTTGGTTAAGAAACGAAGATCCAAGAAAACTGTCGAAATACGTAGCATACAGGGTGGCCGAAATTCAAGAAAACTCGATGATTTCGAATTGGAGATATGTCCCAACAAAAAATAATGTAGCTGATGAAGCCACCAAGTGGACAAATCAATCTAATTTAAAAAATTCCGGCCGGTGGTTAAAAGGACCTGATTTCTTATATAAGTCAGAAATTTCCCATATATGCCAATCCATATTAAAATACCTATATATAAGTTATTTTGGCATATTTTGAACTAAAAGTTGAATATATACGTTTGTATATCAAATGTATACAAATGTATACGTTTGTATATAGGGGTTGCAAAATGTCCTCAAAACTGCCCTTTGACATAGATATATATATATATATATTGTGATGTAATAAATCAATTAAAGATGACTATAGTGAAGTCATAAACTTTAGTTGAGTATATTATAAAATTGAATATATAAAAAGTTAAAAATTAAGTAACTGAGACACTGAATTCACTAACATGAGGTGAACTGATTTACAATAGTAAAGATAATTAAATTACATTTGTTACCTTAATATTAATTAAATAGTAATTTTTGGAATAGATAACAATAGTGGGACTTTTTTAGACTGAAACATTTATCCAATATCACTCAGTGATGTAAAGAGAGATGATGTTTAATTCAAAGTAAACTATAATCCTTTATTAACTTTAGATAAACTTATATTAACATAAACATGTAACATAGTACATCCTGTATTTTAAAATCAAGAAAAGGTTGTCAAATTTGTCATATTGAAAGATTCTAGGAATAACATTTTTTTTGTAACTTGATGCGAGGAAAAAATAAGTTTTTGTTGATAAAAAAAAAAACGGGGATGACAAGAGATGTCATGAAAAAAATTTTTTTTTGATAAGACAAAAAAGAAAAGTTATATTTAGAATAAACCCTAACCATCCAAGTTGATATTGTATATTCAATTGTATTTGATAATTAGTAAATGTACCTACCCATAAAGTGTTTCGCTGTACCTACATAAAAGGTGTAATTCCGATGAAATGGTGCCAATGACTAAAGGACAGTCAACATAGGAGTCGAGAAAGTCTGTATTGTGGTGTTTTCTGGACTACAATTCATCAGAAGAGGATAATAACATTGTCTTATCCGAGAAAAGACACTTCTGTTCGTCACTGAAAGAGTAACCTACAAAAAGAACAGTACAAGGTATTAATTATAAACAATTTTATACTAATCTTACCTGTGTAGATAATTTTGATTTCGTCACACATTACTTTTATATTATTCCCAAAGATTTTACTATTGCATTATTTGTTATTTGAATAAAATTTAAATAAAGTAAGGTTAAAAAAAATGATACCAACTTATGAAATAATAAGACACTTGGGGAATAATATAAAATTAAATTCTGTAATTATTTAGTACTTTCCTGTGAGAATGAAGACGGATGATAGCACTAGTGGTTATATATCTTAATAATAATTAGTTTAAAGGTTATGTTAACTGATGTTTAAACAATGTTAAAATAAATATGTTCATGTTCTGTCTACAAAATAGTATATTTTCTAGGGTTTTATTTTAAATATAAATTGACATTGGCAATACGAGTTTGGATAAGGAGTACAATCACAAATTATTTGCAAATATTATATTACAGGGGGTATTGGATGAATAGTTTTATGAACTCGCTCTAAAATTAAATCCCTGAGGTAAATTCAATTCTATATATATATATATAAAAAAAAATAAGGTAATTATTAAAGTTGTCTCATGTTCAATGAAAGGTATAGATAATTAGAACTTAATATAAAACAAGTAAGTATAATATTATTACTTATTGATTCATCATATGAAATATTTTAATACAATTATATAACATAAAATAAAGCTAGCCATGTAATATAAAATAAAAAAATAAAATAAAATAGATATAAAAAAAATTAATTATATTCAAAATTGAAAATTACATAACAATATATATATATATATATATATATATATATATATATATATATATATATATATATATATATATATATATATATATATATATATATATGGCTTACGTTAATAGTGTACTCATGTTTGGATCAATAATAATAAGTTACAATCTGTTCAGAATAAATGTATTTCTTATTGCCATAAAAAATATCCTCAAACAAGAGAAAACAAAATTTTATCGAATTTAAATTTAATCAATCTAGAATCACGAAGACAAATTTCTAATATAATGTTTATGCACAGAATACTTAATCGTCAAATAGAGTGCATTGATATAATTAATCTCCTTCAATTTAATTGTCTCAATTATAATACTAGAAATATTAATACATTTTTTTCTTAACAAGGCAGCAACCAATTACTATTTAAATGCTCGCCTCCGTTTGACTCTCTTGTTGATAGTTTTTAGTTTTGATTAGGTATTATTGTAAATGATATGATTATTGTATAACTTTGTACTATATTATTGTATAATCTGGTGGACACTTTTTTGGGCTAGTCCTGTCTGTGTCAGGAATAATAAAAAAAAAGTGAAAAATTTTTGTTATAATTGGCTGAAAGAAATAAATACAAAGATTGCTAATTTCTGCCCTTTAAAAACATAAACTGAAAGAAGAGACACTATCACAAAATAGGATTCGACGTGTACCAAAATTACAATTTCTAAAGCAACTGTTATTTGTTATTTTGAGTCCAAAATATCTCGACAAAGAGGACCCAAATTGCAAACTTTTATCAAAACCCCCCTAAAATGTTTATTATAACATCCTGTTAAAATATTGTAAAATCATTACGGATCGCCCTGTATAGAAGATATTAAAATGTGAATTATTAAAAAATTATGATTTTGATTTTGAAAATGTTTTAGCATGCCAAACTTTACCCCTAACCAGCCCGATACCTGGAGGCGGACCCAGAAAATCGTCAGGAGTGGTTTCTCTACTGCATGCGATAATAGCGTTAATCAACAAACAAATGGAGCAAATAAGTAGAACGCACGATTTAAATGTTTTGGAAATATCTTTTAATATATTACACAACGCTTGTCAGTCATCCTTGGAATGCAGAGTTTTAATTTCAAAAGTAAGTTGTATTACCTATTGTAATAATTATTATTTTAAGTAGCAAATTTAATTTTTTGATATATTTACAACAATATAAAAAAAGTTTAAGAGAAACTTTACAGTTCGCCATTTTCCTTGCTTTTTAGGGTTCCGTACCCAAAGGGTAACCAACGACAACACATTACTAAGCGTTGGCTGTCCGTCCGTCTGTCTGTCAGCGGGCTGTATCTCATGGTCCGTAATAGACAGAGAGTTGAAAATTTCACAGAATGTGTATTTCGGTTGCCACTAAACAACAAATAATAAAAATAAATTAAAAATTAAAGGGGGCTTCCCTACTAGAAACCTTTTTTTTTTTTTTGGCTTTTTTTGGTCGATCTTAATAAAGTATTTAAAAAGTACCTACATAGTATTAAATCTTGTAGGATGGTGCGGAACCCTTCATGGCTGGTTTTTTTAAGTAAAGTTGCAGCAATTCGTATTGCACGTCTGCTCACTAACATACTTTCGATCACCTGTTGGAATTTTTCCAGCAATTGCAGAAAATCGCAACGGACTAAAACAAATCATATTGTAGCTGCAGTTCTGAAAAAAATGAGTATTAAGCACGTTTTGTGTTACATTACGTAACTTAACTCGGTGAAATATGAAAGAAATTTCAATGATGTACAGCCGGCGCAGTCTTTGTCTGAAGTGGGAATGCGCGGTAATGTCGACGCCTACCATACTGTGTAAGAAAGATATAAATAATAGCCCGTCTGGTCTGAGTGTTCCATAGGATAATGTGTCTTTGTATGTGTATACTTATTCCAGAACATTAGTCCGTCAGATAATGACAGATTTAGGTGCCCCATTGGCGCATACAAGCCTCAAAGAGGGTTGAAAAGTATTTCGATTTCTAACAAAAAAGAATCATAGAAATCGGACTGGTGGTAAAGAATTATCGCTAAACATACATTAAAAATGAAGAGTTTATATGGGACCACCCCTACCCCCTTTCTAACAAAAAAAGAATCATTGAAATCAGACACCGTGTTAAAGAAATATTGCTGAACATACATAAAAAAAAATTCTTAACAAAAATAAAAGGTGCTTTTTGCCTATATTTTCACACAAGCCGTGTTCACTAAATGATTAGTTAATAAAACTTAACCTCGAAAAACTAAAAGCTTGAATTTTGGAAGTGGCTAAAGGGTTAAAATAAGGGAATAATCTTGTAAAGAAAAATCGAGATTTTAACCGATTTTTCCATCAACAAGTCCATCGAAAGTATGAAAACGTACATCGTCACTAGCCCGAAAAACATATTGGCTTTAGTGGCGCGAATGGAAAGTACATTTTGAGGTCGGAAAATGTAACGGAAATGTTTTTCACTTATTTTTCCATGCAAGCCTCTGAAACTATTGATGCGTAGAAATTATAATAAAATTTGCGTGACTATCCGATGGGGACGGAACGAAGACTTGCATCGGAAAGTTGCAGGACAATTGTATACAAATTTCCACCATTTTCTCACGCAAGCTGTTTCACATATCGACTCATGCAACGAAGACAGTAACTCATTGTTGGGAGTTTTTGAGTTACAACAATAAAAAATCTGTTAACTGTTAAAAAAATTTGCCACAAAATTGTACTTATCAAATTTCAGCGTTTAACAAACCTTTTCGAATTTGGTCATACCTACCTAATTTGTATTTTATATAGATAAAATTAAATAATTTTAAGGTGATTACAGCACCCCCTTATAATTTTCGGACAAGGATATCTCAAAAAGTAATTTTTTTAAAAAACTAAAATTTTGGCAAAATATATTAGGCAATAATATCTAAAATATGCATATATTTTAAAATTTTAATTCCTTCCAGTTTCCAAGAAAAAAAATCAAAGGGCTTTAAATTTTAAAATATCATAATGAAAATAAATGCATTCCTCAACAGCACTATTCTTAATATAATCCCCAAATTTAAGCTCTTAATCTCTTGTAAATGATTTTTTAAAATTCGCCGAAATTAGTGGCTAAAACGCCTTGTTAAGTGCTATTTTCTGGTTTAAACTGGTGTAAACTGGTGTAAATCGTTGCAAGAAACGAATGATGACTCAGAGTGTACGATACGATAGTTACAGATGCGTTACACTAGAAAAAAGCACTTAACGAGGCGTTTTAGCCACTAATTTCGGCGAATTTTAAAAAATCATTAACAAGAGATTAAGAGCTTAAATTTGGGGATTATATTAGGAATAGTGCTGTTAAGGAATGCATTTATTTTCATTATGATATTTCAAAATTTAACGCCCTTTGATTTTTTTTCTCAGAAACTGAAAAGAATTAAAACTTTAAAAAATATGCATATTCTAGATATTATTGCCTAATTTATTTTGCCCAAATTTTAATTTTCTAAAAAAATTACTTTTTGAGATATCCTTGTGCCAAAATTATAAGGGGGTGCTGTAATCACCTTAATTAAAAATAATAAAATTAAAACATGCAAGACTTATTTAGAAATAAATACAACAGTATGTTCTGTGCTTTATTTAGCTATAAACAAGTTTATTTTTATTATTTTGACAAAATTATGTATAATTCCCATAAGAAGCCATGTATTTTGAACACCGTATGTAGTACTAGCGCCCATGCGGTTAATTATAAAAGCTCAATTAGCGTGCGTTTTTTGGGACCGTATTTTGAGTATGCCGATTCGCCTCCTTATCTCTAGTCTTCATAGTGCGTACTCAACACGTAACTAATAAAATAGAGAGATACATTATATACAAGTCGCATTTTGTGGAACGAAGATAGAAGCTTCTCAACACATGCCGAATTGAAAGATGAGAATCCCACTGCAGGTCCACAGAGTTGCCATATCATAACCTGTCATTACCCACGGGCAGCATTTTGACAGATCGTTGGAATGTCTAATATATTAATTTCCTTGAATAATATATATTCAAGGTTATTAAAATTATAATATTAGAAAAACTTTAAATATTTCTAAATTTTTGTTTCAGCTACTTTTTGGATAAATAATATCCTCCATGTCCTTTTTTTATATCATTTTATAATCACTTTTTCCAAGCATTGCCAAATGACTTGTGTGAAAAAATCGAGGAAATTTCTAGATTTTTTTTGTCAACTTTTTTAAAATAAATTATAATATGATGACCATGTCCGACACTCAAGCCTTTTGTAACATAGTCTTAGAATCAATTTTTCTAACCATATGTCAAACGGCTTGCATGCGAAAATGGTGGCAATTTGCATACAATTTTCCTACAACTTTCCTATTTCCTGAAAATTTGTATTAAAACGAATTTGGTTAATGGGAAAATAACTAAAAAATCAAAAACAGTTCCGTTACATTTTCCGACCTAAATATGTACTTATCTATTCGCGCCACTCAAGCCAATATGTTTTTCTGGCTAGTGATGATGTAAATTTTTATATTTTCGATGGGCTTGTGTGGAAAAATCGGTTAAAACCTCGACTTTTCCTTCAATATTACGCCCTTATTTTAACCCTTTAGTGAACACGGCTTGCGTGAAAATATGGGCAAAAAACACCATTTATTGTTACAGAAAATCAAATTTTCCATATCCGCAGGGGCCACTCGTAAATTTTCTTTCATTAAACTCAACATCCATGTTCTTTTCAACCCTTTTCAAGGCTTGTATGCGAAAATGGGACACCTAAATATGTTACTATCTGACGGTCTAGTAATGTTTGTTTGTAATGTTGTGAATAGTGAGTTATGTTAAAATGTCGAAACATTTACACATTATCTAAGAAAAGGAAATACTATTCCTTCCAAACAAATATTTTTGCAAAAAAAGTTACTACTCATTATTATATCATTATAATATTGTTGATTAAGTTAGTTCATAAGAATTACAGATCTAAATTAAGAAAAATACTAAATATGTTATAAAGTTGAAGATTTTGACCTTGAAATCAACAAATTTAAAAACATGTTTACAAATTTCCAATACAAGATTGAATAATTAATTAATATACGATTATAACAGCATATTACATCACATTTTCGGATAACCTAACGTATAATACTTTCTTTAAAACACTATTACTTCAATGACATTTCTTATGATTATAATGGTTTACTAAAATCCATTATTAAATAAGGTATTACTGTAATTGGCTTCAAAACAAATAAAAATTCAGATTTATTCTCCTAAGTAGATACTATTTTCGGTAATATTTACAATTTTTCATAAATTAATTCTTATGTTGTCCAATTTTAGAGTTTGGAGATTTACTTCTTTTTTATAATTCTCATTATAAAATAAGAAACATCAATCATTATTATTATTATTATGTGAGTAACTTTTATGGTATTAATGGCTAAATGACTCATTAAATATCTTTGCAAATTGTCTTTATCTCTCCTCTCAGCAAAGAAAACTTGTATTTCATTCAAAAATTCTTCTATTGTATATGGGGTTCGGGGATGGTCTTAATAATTCTTATGGAGATTTTTGAGATTTGTTTCCGAATTTTCAAAAATTAATTATAATGTATAAATATAGATATGAAAAAGGACTAAAAGTTACAATTAAAAAAGTACTATTAAACACAATTCAATTTGGTGGCATTTATTCGGGCAATGTTCCTTATCTCACACAAGCTCAGCTTTATGAGGCTTTCTAGGAATCTGAAGGGCTGTTGTTCCAGTGTTGCCATTTTTGGGTTTTTATTGTGCCTTTTTACTTTCCTATCTGTATACAGATATAAGGAAAGTATAGGAATCATGATTTTTTTCGACCTCGAGTTTTCGACGGATTTTTACGTTTTGAGGTCCCCTAAATCCGTTTTGACTATTTTCGCGATGATGTCTGTGTGTGTGTCTGTGTGTCTGTGTGTCTGTGTGTGTGTGTGTCTGTATAACGCATAACTCATGAACCGATACACAGAAAAACACCAAATTTTAAACTTAAGCTTCGTTTCAGCGTCCAATGAGCTGATTAGATTTTGGGCAGTGTCGGAACATCTGGGGGGGTACTTTATAG